AAGAGGTACTGCAGTTACTATACTACAGGACAGAAGAGGTACTGCAGTTACTATACTACAGAAGAGGTACTGCAGTTACTATACTACAGGACAGAAGAGGTACTGCAGTTACTATACTACAGAAGAGGTACTGCAGTTACTTTACTACAGAAGAGGTACTGCAGTTACTATACTACAGAAGAGGTACTGCAGTTACTATACTACAGGACAGAAGAGGTACTGCAGTTACTATACTACAGGACAGAAGAGGTACTGCAGTTACTATACTACAGGACAGAAGAGGTACTGCAGTTACTATACTACAGAAGACGAGTGGAACAGTGATAATAAACACACCCATAACACTTGTACCTCCTAGAGCGAGTTGTGTTGTTGTGTTGCTGTTGTGTTGATGTTGTGTTACCTTGAGGTCAGACACATCCTTGTAACACTTCTCAGAGCGGGTGTGGTCCGACAGCTGGACGTTCCAGTAACACGGGAGCTGATGAACCAGGAACGGGTTCTGTTTGATCACAGCGTTAAAGATGTCCTGAAACACACAGACACACACACACACACACACACACACCCATGGATCTATTATAATAAGGTGATACAGTATTAGATTTTATTATATGACTTGGTTCGCGCGCTCTGATTGGCTGATTTGCGGTCTGATATTTTCCCATCTCGGACCGTTACCATGACAATTGGTCCGCAGCGCGTATCAGATTTGATATCTTTCCTCGGAAAAAAAAGAAATAATGGGTGACAACTTCGAAGAGCCAGAGGAAGTAATAACAGTAAATAACGACGAAAACATAACTAACAGTCAAGAAGAGATCGACAACTTCGTTACAGACCAGAAAGCTAAAAACAGGACCAGGAAAACCAAGTCGGAGATCGATATTTACATAAATTAAAAATAGTCATATAATACAACATTTATTAACCTCGCCAAGGCTCGGTCTGTACAAAAAGGCCGCGCTCTGATATTTTTCTGTACAGACCTCGCGCTCGTTTAATAAGCCGTTAATATCTGTCCCACCCTTGGGCCCAGGGGCCACCTGTGGTCCTGCAGACGAAACTCACGTTACCCAGAAACATGTTCATGAACTCAGCGGAGAACCTGACAGAGAACCTACAGTTTTCATAAAGGTTGGGTTTTGTGGGGCTTTTAGTGTCCCTTGTCATCCTGAACTTTTTTTATTGTTAAATCCTTCGGTTTTCTTTAAATATACATATTAGTGCACGTGCACGTGCATGAGAGCCACACGTGTATTTGCCGCAGAACCGGGAGGACCAGACGATGTCCAAATATGGGCGAGTTTCGCTAATCTTTCGGTGCCCATGATGGGGCGCCACTGAGCCATGATTGAAGACGCCGCCATCTTGGATCCCGGGCTGGGTCTCACCTGGTCGGCCAGCGACGTGGACAACATTCCCATCAGTTCTCTCTCTGCGGTGAGTCTCCACATCTGCTCCCAGCGAAGCTTCCTCAACCGATCCAACAGCAGCAAGATGACCCCTGGAAAGTACAAGTACTGCAGTACTTTTGTACTACAGTACTACAGTAGTACTACTAAAGTACCTGTGTTGAAGCCTCGCCCCAGTGCTGGCCAGGGTCGATGGTTCTTCCATAAATTTCCTAAATACCAGTCGCTCTGATTCTCCACCAAACCCAGAACCTGCTGACCTGAGGACAAAGCAGAGGAGTCTGTCGCCATGGCAACGGTTTGGTATGGTCCAGTTCAATCTGGTCCAGTCGAGTCTAGTTCAGTCTGGTCCGGTCCGGTCAGTACCAGTGAACTTGCTGAAGACGTTCCACAGCTCGTTGATGTCGGTGGCGAAGGTGATGTCCGTGTCCAGGACCACGACCTTCTTCAGGTCCGAGGGAAGAGTCTTCACCAGAACCAGCTTCATCAGACCATAGATCCCAGAGTAGTGTTTGTTCGGGATCCAGGAGACCTCAGACTGTGACAGACCATCAAGACCCAACCCAGACCATCAAGACCCAACCCCAGTCCCAGAGGAGGATTTCACCTTGAGTTCGTCGCCGTCGTAGAAGTCGACCTTCACGGCGGGAACCATCCACGACGTGAAGAGCGAGGACAGGATCCTCTGAGCGATGGAGTCAGTGATGAAGTGGAAGTGAAGAGGGTTCCTCCTGAAGCCACAAGACGCTAACGTCAGGCTAACGCTAACGTTAGGCTAACGCTAGCATAAGGCTAACGCTAGCATAAGGCTAACGCTAGCATCAGGCTAACCCTAGCAACGCCCCATCCACGTATTATAACAGATCTGACCTGTGGAACAGCACCGACTTCACCAGCGTCACCACGTCTCGGCTGGCGTTGTACCCGGCACAAACGATGGCCACATGGAT